GCTTCAAATCAAGATCCTGCATCCATACACTCAAGTGAGAGGACTTACGTTACCCAAGAAGAGCCAGATAAGTCACGGGGCTGCCCATGTCTTCACCAAGAAGTAGAGGCAATGACATTTAACACAACAGCGTGGAGTGGGGCGTTGTGCATGGTCAAAGTGATGGTGACATGATGAAAACAGTGATTATGAGTAACTTGGAAGGAGGAAAGAAGAGGTGGGCAGAGAAGTACACGGGAGGCTGAGGGCAGGGAGTGCAGTCTTCATCTGCCATATCAGGAAACCACAGATAGCATCCCAAACCAAAAAATCAAGAACTAGCAATAGAAGCATATCATTTAGAACAATGGAGCTAAATACCAAACAAAGAGCTGAAAGTGGGTTCTTCTGAGAGCAGGAAATGAAGATGGGGAGAGGGTAGAAAGGGAGACAGCTGCTTTTCATTAAAGGCCCGGTAGCACCATTTTCTTTTTAGAACTATATACACATATTAGTCCCATCATTTTTATTTTTTAATTGAAAAAGAAATCTTAAAGGATAGCAATAGTGTTGGAAGAAAATCCCATGGACAGGTGTGTTACGGAGAGGTAGTTTGAAATCCATGGGCAAATAAGTGAACTTCGACTTCAGGCTCATACAAAAATTAACTCAGAGTGGATCATGGACTGAAATGTAAATGTGTACAACTCTGGGGAAAAAGCACAGGAGAACTTGTTCAGTCAGAGAAAGCTCAGACTTGACACCAAAAGGAAGAAATGAGAAATGACTTCACCACAATTAAAAACTTTTGATCTGTCAAAAACCCTGTTATAGGAATAAAAAGAAGCTACAGAGTGAAAGAAAATACTTACAAACCACATATTCGTCAAAGGACTTACATTCAGAATATATAAGGAACTCTAAAATCACAACAATAGGGGCCCCTGGCTGGCTCAGTTAGAAGAGCATCTGACTCTTGAGCTCCAGGTCATGAGTTTAAGCCCCATGTTGGGTGCAGAGATCACTTAAATAAATAAAACTTAAAAAAAAAACGCAACAATAAACTGGGGAGAAAACCTATTAACATCCCCATATGTAAAGAATGTATATGAATCAATAAGGCAAAGTAAACAACCTAAAGGAAAAAGAATAAGTTACACGAACACACAGTTCAGACCTAAGAAAATACAAATGGCAAACTGAACTACAGGGTGGGGAGAAAGTTCAGCTTCACTAGTTACCACAAAAAGGCAAATTAAGATTGAATACTCTTTTTAACCCATGAATGCTTAGCAAAAATGGAGGTCAAAAGAGCCGGGTATGGGGAGACAGGCATTACTACATCAAGAGTAGTGTGCCCTTATGAGGCCACCATTACCTTGATCCCAAAACCAGACAAAGACCCCATCAAAAAGGAGAATTACAGACCAATATCCTTGATGAACATGGATGCAAAAATTCTCACCAAAATACTAGCCAATAGGATCCAACAGTACATTAAAAGGATTATTCACCATGACCAAGTGGGATTTATCCCTGGGCTGCAAGGCTGGTTCAACATCCGCAAATCAATCAACGTGATACAATACATTAACAAAAGAAAGAACAAGAATCATATGATACTCTCAATAGATGCAGAAAAAGCATTTGACAAAGTACAGCATCCTCTCTTGATCAAAACTCTTCACAGTATAGGGGTGGAGGGTACATACCTCAATATCATAAAAGCCATCTATGAAAAACCTACAGCGAATATCATTCTCAATGGGGAAAAGCTGAGAGCTTTCCCCCTAAGGTCAGGAACGCGGCAGGGATGTCCACTATCACCACTGCTATTCAACATAGTATTAGAAGTCCTAGCCACAGCAATCAGACAAAAAAAAGAAATCAAAGGCATCCAAATTGGCAAGGAGGAAGTCAAACTCTCACTCTTTGCAGATGATATGATACTGTATGTGGAAAACCCAAAAGACTCCACCCCAAAACTCCTAGAACTCATACAGGAATTCAGTAAAGTAGCAGGATATAAAATCAATGCACAGAAATCAGTGGCATTCCTATACACCAACAACAAGACAGAAGAAAGACAAATCAAGGAGTCGATCCCATTTACAACTGCACCCAAAACCATAAGATACCTGGGAAAAAATTTAACCAAAGAGGCAAAGGATCTGTACTCAGAAAACTATAAAATACTCATGAAAGAAATTGAAGAAGACACAAAGAAATGGAAAAACGTTCCATGCTCATGGATTGGAAGAACAAACATTGTGAAGATGTCAATGCTCCCCAGAGCAATCTACACATTCAATGCAATCCCCATCAAAATACCATCCATCTTTTTCAAAGAAATGGAACAAATAATCCTAAAATTTGTATGGAACCAGAAGAGACCCCGAATAGCCAGAGGAATGTTGAAAAAGAAAAGCAAAGCTGGCGGCATCACAATTCCGGACTTCCAGCTCTATTACAAAGCTGTCATCATCAAGACAGTATGGTACTGGCACAAAAACAGACACATAGATCAATGGAACAGAATAGAGAGCCCAGAAATGGACCCTCAACTCTACGGTCAACTAATCTTTGACAAAGCAGAAAAGAATGTCCAATGGAAAAAAGACAGTCTCTTCAACAAATGGTGTTGGGAAAATTGGACAGCCACATGCAGAAGAATGAAACTGGACCATTTCCTTACACCACACACAAAAATAGACTCCAAATGGTTGAAAGACCTAAACGTGAGACAGGAGTCCATCAAAATCCTAAAGGAGAACACAGGCAGCAACCTCTTCGACCTCAGCCACAGCAACTTCTTCCTAGAAACATCACCAAAGGCAAGGGAAGCCAGGGCAAAAATGAACTATTGGGACTTCATCAAGATAAAAAGCTTTTGCACAGCAAAAGAAACAGTCCACAAAACCAAAAGACAACCGACAGAATGGGAGAAAATATTTGCAAATGACATATCAGATAAAGGGCTAGTATCCAAAATTTATAAAGAACTTATCAAACTCAACACCCAAAGAACAAATAATCCAATCAAGAAATGGGCAGAAGACATGAACAGACATTTTTCCAAAGAAGACATCCAAATGGCCAACAGACACATGAAAAAGTGCTCAACATCGCTCGGCATCAGGGAAATCCAAATCAAAACCTCAATGAGATACCACCTCACACCAGTCAGAATGGCGAAAATTAACAAGTCAGGAAACGACACATGTTGGCGGGGATGCGGAGAAAGGGGAACCCTCCTACACTGTTGGTGGGAATGCAAGCTGGTGCAACCACTCTGGAAAACAGTATGGAGGTTCCTCAAACAGTTGAAAATAGAGCTACCCATACGATCCAGCAATTGCACTACTGGATATTTACCCCAAAGATACAAATGTAGGGATCCGAAGGGGTACGTGCACCCTGATGTTTATAGCAGCAATGTCCACAATAGCCAAACTGTGGAAAGAGCCAAGATGTCCATCGACAGATGAATGGATAAAGAAGAGGTGGTATATATACACAATGGAATATTATGCAGCCATCAAAAGGAATGAGATCTTGCCATTTGCAACGACGTGGATGGAACTGGAGGGGGTTATGCTGAGTGAAATAAGTCAGTCAGAGAAAGACATGTATCATATGACCTCACTGATATGAGGAATTCTTAATCTCAGGAAACAAACTGAGGGTTGCTGGAGTGGTGGGGGGTGGGAGGGATTGGGTGGCTGGGTGATAGACATCGGGCAGGGTATGTGCTATGGTGAGCACTGTGAATTGTACAAGACTGAGGAATCACGGATCTGTACTTCTGAAACAAATAATGCAATATATGTTAAGAAAAAAAAGAAGAAGAAGAAGATAGCAGGAGGGGAAGAATGAAGGGGAGTAAGTCGGAGGGGGAGACGAACCATGAGAGACAATGGACTCTGAGAAACAAACTGAGGGTTCTAGAGGGGAGGGGGGTCGGGGGATGGGTTAGCCTGGTGATGGGTATTAAAGAGGGCGCGTTCTGCGTGGAGCACTGGGTGTTATGCACAAACAATGAATCATGGAACACTGCATCAAAAACTGATGATGTAATGTATGGTGGTTAAAAAAAAAAAAAAGAGTAGTGTGCCCGTTTGGGAAGGTCATTTGGCAGCAGCTACTATCATTTAACATTTGCATTCACCCTAACTTAGCAATTTCACTTCCAAGGAAGACTTGCCCATCAGCACATGGAAGCAGATACAGTGTATTGCTTTTAGCAAACAACTGGAAACAACCTTAGTGTCCATTAATAGGGAAATGGTATAAATAATGAAAAGCTATGAAGCCATTAAAAAAATAGGGGGACAGAGGTAGATCTATATGCATGACATGGGAATAACTCCAAGAGAAAGCAAACTGCAGAACAACACACCCGGTGTGACCTTGTATTTGACAAACAGAAAATAATCTAAAACCATGTGTATACAGTGTACACAGGGCAGGGTTCATACCAAGTTGTTAACCGTGGCTACATCCTGGGAAGGGACAAGGATGAAACAGGCGACCGCGAGAAACTACAGCACGACTTATACCAATGGGATGTTGTTTTTCTCCTTCGGATCATTTTATCCGAGGATGTATCTGTGTCATGCATCTAACGAGGAAATAATGATGCAGCACTTAAGACAGTGCCTAGCATCCAGCAGGTGCTCCACAAATGCTCGTTCAAACTTTTTTTTTAAAAAAAACTAGTGAAATATTTTGAACTCTTTCAAAATGTAAATACAGAGAACCAGGAAGCTCTCTGGTGCCCTGGCCAGGGTTTTAACATATCAGAAGGCAGTAAGTGGTGGAATTCTTCCTGGGGCTGGTTTTTGAAACTTGATGTAAGTATCCAAAACCAGGAAGCAGGAAAAGGAGCATTCCTGAGAGGAAAGGGGGGTGGCAATAACCAAACAACCAAAGAAAAAAATTCAGGGTCTCACAGCAAATGCAGCAGCAAGCAAAGGCCCCCGTCCGGAGCACACTGAGCCCCCACAGAATGATCACACTACCTGCTGTCTTTGCCGATGAGGTGGTGGACACCCCATTGAGCTCACTAGGACTCCTTTTGATGGGCCGTGGCTTATACTCTCGTCTGGGGACACTGGATGCAGCTGATATTCTGAAACACACATTTTAAGATCAGTCAGACATCAGATGAAGAAAGCCATGCTTCCAAATGTACGTTTGCACTGCCTTGGGGAGCCTACGAACTTGGGGGAGAGGTGGTGGTTGTGAAGGGGGTAATTTTTACGCATCGGTTCGTAAGTAGCTCAAAGTGATAGGGGTGATATCCCCGGCGTAGTTTTTCCGCTATATATTTGAAAGTGTTGGTCTCTCACAGAGTCTCTGAGGCCCCTGTCAGGTGCCAGGTTATACTGGGCGCCCAGCAACGTTAGCTGCCTTTTCTCCCCTTCTGCTCATGCAGAGAGAGAAATACACAAACGTGACCGTGTGAGCACTGCATGTATGCCCGCCCCCCGCCCCCGCAAAGAAGTGGATGCTTCAGAGACCGGCCACACCTGAGAATTCTGCCATTGATTTAAGCAAACATCCCTCCAAATGTATTCATTATCATCATCCCATGTAAAACAAAATTCGGTTACCAAACCCGGTCAAGAATGGGGTAGGTGTTTTTAACCCACTATATTAATTAATAGGGTTACTGGGCCTACTACATGTGATATTACTAATTTTCAGAGAAATATAGAATACATCATCCTTAAAACCTAAGGGGAACGGCCATCTTCCTTTGATCATTCAGAAGGTATTTTTGACTCTTTCAGTACCTCTCTGAGTCAGTAGTACAAACGTGGCCTGCTATCTGTACTGGTGAAATAGAAACGCGTCTTTTTTCCAGATATTTACATACTTTCTGCATATCATCGCACACTTCTCCACATCCCTACACGTTGGCAAGGAGGTACATGCCATCGCCACCCCGGCTTAAGCTCTCAAATCAGCAATGAAGCCGAGACAGCTCTGTCAGGTGAGCAGCTCCTTTGGGTTGCCCTGAACACAGGTCATGGAAAAGCGCTTTCATGAAACAAAAAAGGAAAAAAGCTGCCAGATTGCTTTTCCCAGCTCTGTCCCTTTGGCCAGAGCCACGTACTTATTACTTCAGTGCTATCGACACCCAACCATGAAAGCCAGCTAAGAAAATTCAGAACAGAATGGGGCGGTGGGAAGGGGCAGACAGAGGGACAGGCAGACAGAGGGACTGATTCAGATGGAGCTTACTCTGCAGCCCCGGGCTGGCAGGGCACGTGAAGGCTCTTACCGCATCTGCAGATTGCTCTGTAACTCCTGCAGGATCTCCGTGGACTGTTTGTGATAGTCTAAAGCTGCCTCTATAAACACGGCCAACTGGCTGACTTGTTCTACCTGCAGCAAAAGTGGAAAATTATCCCAAGGCCTGTGTAATATTGAGAGAGAGAGAGAGAGAGAGAGGCGGGACCAGCAACAAAGACCCAGCTTCGCAGGGAAGCCCCGCGTCTTCCTCGGCTCTGGTCCATTTCATTTCCTTACACTGCGTCATCATCACACGGGTGGCAGTAGAAAGCTGTATATTCTGGAAAACCATGTTCAAATTTATTTGTGATTAAAATTTGGTTTAGCTCAATGGAAGCTGGTTTTCCCAATTAGATGACACCCTCAGGAGATTTTTGTGCTCTAAAGCTCATGGACCTGAACACAGAGATAAAGCTTTCCAATGACATGGGAAGCCAACATTGAGTAAATGAACCTCTTCCTCAGTGAAACGTCTCTTCGGGCGTCTTCTAGCTAAGTCAAATCAGGAAGCTAAGTAAATCAAGCTGTTCTCACCTAAGAACGGAAACCAGGGGAGGGTGGGCACCAGGGCAAACACTTGCCAGCTCCCTGTGTCTCGCTGCTGTCCACACAAAATCGTGGCCATGAAACGTAACGGCCGAAAGGAATGAACCCTACAGCTTCTTGTATCTCTCAGTCCCTTGAATCAAGACATTTACGAAATGAATGACCAAATCTCAGTGGATGGAAAAACTAAAGTAGAAAAGTTCTATAACGTAAGAAAGGCCGGAAGACCAGGGGATGCATGGATTGAGAAAGAGGCGTCCCCTGTGGGAGCTTCCCCGCTTCCCCCATGCGTCTGAACAGCTGCTCCAGAAAAGCGGGATTCATGACGCTGATGTCGGCAAGCCTCGGACGCAGGACCTCTGGGTTGAGGTGATGAGGACCCCCCAGCAAGAGCCCCGTGACCTCCATATCTGGAGAAGGTCACAAACCAAAATCAATCCCCCCTCTTCCAAAGCTTCCCCAAAGCCTATGCATCATTCCCACGTGCTAAGCAGCTTGAGGGCAGAGTCTGCCCTGCTTATTCACCCCGTAAAACCAACCATGGACTGGTCCACCTTCAAAGACCCAAGCTGCTTCCATCTGTTGCTACAGACCCTGCTTTGGCTGCCCTACACTCGCTTTCCCTATGCACGCATAAACACGGGCTCAGTGCACACCTAAGACACCCACGGCATTCCACTGGTGCCCCGCTGTGCTCCGCATCCAAACGAGGAAATCCCGTTGTGTTACATTCACTTTGCCGCGCCTGGAGCTAGAAAAGCACCAAGCCTAGCCTTAAATTTCCCAAAACCCAATAAACAAAACAAAGACAGCTGGCCCCTCAGAAATTCTAAGGATTTCTTAAGTTTCACCTCTCTGGCTTTCACGTTTCAACAAGTCCAGTGCCATGGCCCAACTCGACCACAGCAGAATCTGCCGAAGCAGGAACTGTGCTCCCCAGTGCGGGGGAAGCGGCGAGTCTGGTCCGATCTGTGTCACACCTCACTGCCTTCAGTAAAGTTAACTTCTATTTTAATCCCCACTTTGAGATATGTTTGACATTTCTCTTTTCAAAGGAGCAGTGAAAAAGTGAGTATTCCTGGAAACATACAGGGGGCGGGGAGGGAGGGAGGGAGGGAGAGATCACCAGATCTCCTGTGTGGTTGGCCCAGACAAGTTATGTAATCTAGAGATGCATCTGTCACTATTCGTTCGATGGCTGACTTTGGGAAGGAAATGAATCCCAAGGCCCCTTGGGAGAGAACAGCGGTGCTGCATGGTGCCTGCATACAGTAGGTGCTCAATGCAACTACTGGAGAGGCGGTACTGCAAAGTTCTTGCTGGCAGGGAAGCCACGTGGTGCCACAAGGGGCTTATGTGCCTCCCTGTGCCAGAAAACGGAGGCTTCCGGTTATTCCCGGGCCATAAGCAGCAAGGTGCGTGCGGGTGGTCTCTGCCTCCCAAATCCCAGGTAGGATTCAACACCTGGACAGGCAGAACCAAGGTAGCAATAAAGCCAGACCTTGCAAGTACCTGTCCGGAAGGTAAAGCGTTTCTTCCACTGGCCACACCACTCAATCTGGCAAATCCACCTGTTGACTCAGGGAAGGTCGCCTGGGATAAGACAGGTGTAACTCTACTTCCGGCTGAGACCAACACTGCCCCTCTCTGGTGGCACTTTGCGAGTGAAGTGTGACCACGCACCACATACACAGAGCTCCCGGCTCAGAGTAAAGTGCATTCACCGTCACGGTGGGTCACACCTGGCCAGGTGCCTGAAGCAAGAAACTCAGACTTCCCAGTAAGCTATAGGAGAAGGAGGGAGGGTCCAGGTACGGGCCACGGTGCTGGCAGATGGTGGGGCGAGGACTAGGAAGCCACCTGGGGCAAAGGAACCACAGAGAGCTTGTGGTGGAGAGAAAAATGGCCCCCAAAGACGCCCAAGCCCATCTCCCCAAATCTGTGACTATGTCACCTTCCCGGGCAAAAGAGACTCTGTGGGTGTGATTGAGTTAAGGGTCTTGAACTAGAGGATGACCTGGGTTATCTGGGTGGCCCAGTGTCATCACAGGGTCCTAGAAGAGGGAGGCAGGAGGGTCAGAGTCGAAGAAGGAGGTACATCGGGGGAGCAGAGGCAGAGCAAGAGGTGTGAAGATGCCTCGTGTGGGCTTCACGGCCGACGGCACCCCACTCCATGCGTCCTCGCTCCCTCCCCTGGGGCAAGACTCAGTGTATCTCCGGGGTGTCGCCCGTGGGCGTGCTCTCCTTCAAAACCCTCTCGTTATGTGCAAACCAAGGGCTGATTATAAGCACATGCGGCTGTTGGGGCTACCGAGCCCTGGGGATGGAGGCAGAGCACTGACGTCCCCATACTACTGTGGATTACGAACACAAGAAGTCCCCGGGCTGTAGCCCCAGGGACACTTGAATTGGACCTGAGCCACTGGGGTGACCTGCAGACCAAGCACAAAGGATCTGGGCTGAACCCAAAGGCAGGATGGCTCCGAGGACTGCACCTTGTAGTAAGATTAGCACTGTGCAGAAGGTTACGGAAACAGCGGCCAAGTAGGAGCAGGGCTGTGACCTCTCCTCCTCAGACCCTTCAGCAACTAGTTATCACAGGACTGGTTAGCAGCCGGGTAGGTGGGTGGAGAGGCACACCCTGAAGACCCCGGCACGAGGAGGGATGACAGGGATGTCAGTAGGTAACACCCTGCACCCAGATGCCTGGAATCTGCAGCGAGCCTGGCGTGCAATAAGGAAATGCACCTCTTCTGGAATGCGACAAGCCATCCCCTTTCACAACTGAAAATGGCATATTTCCAATGGGGAGAGCATCTTCGATCTGAATTGTGGTTATCCAAGTGATCTCTTGCTCCATCGTATCAAAGACCTCCACTCCTTCTGGACTCTCCCCGGAGAAGCTAGAGGAGTCTGATCTTAAACACACGACTTTGCTAATTAGGGCGAGAGCTTTACTCAGAGTTTCTGAGCAAGGCAATGAACTTAGTAGCCGAAATAACAGCCCCTTATGCTTCCATTCTCCACTTCAGATTCCCAAAGGGTTTCCGGCATGTAGCTGCTCACGTCGTGCCTGACATGTGTAGGTCAAGGTGACTTTCCAGGGGCAAACAGCTGAGCAGAAGTGAAACCAGAATCAGATTTCAGGTGGTTCGCTCCTTGTTGGGTGTGCCTTCCTTCCGCGAGCCCAGTTTTCCCTAATGTACTTTGTGCCACGTGTCACCAGTCCCTTGAAATGACAGCAATATTAACAATGATGTGGAAGGTCAAACCGGTGTGCCCTGCCTTAGGAATCTCTTCGAGACCGATTTTTCACATTATCATATAAAGACTGAAAAGTCTTGGATTCAAGAAAACCTGCTTAGCTTTGTCCACGTGAGGGTTTGGCAAACTCATTTGAGCGTAGAGACATTATTAGTGCAACCTACGACAGCCCGTGGAATGAATTTAGGAAAATGCCACCCCGGACCAAAGGAAAGAACCCAGGAATCTGCAATCTGGTAACCCCCACTTATTGCAGGAGCCCACGGATGGAGGGAGGATCCCCAGGCAGGAGACGTGGACCAAGAGAGCTAGAGAAAAGTGCAGGTGTCTGGCCTCACGGGCCTGGAATGGGGATATTCTAGGTGCTCTCTCTGGCTCCTGCCGAAGTCAAAGACCTACGTTCCATGATGTCAAGGGGTGAGGAACAGACTTCTCTGCAAAGACAGAAGGAGAGTGTTAACAGGCCATTCCCAAGAAATGGTGAAGGCGGGCAACCAACCTGCTCAATTTCCCGCACCCCTACCTCAGAGCGAATTGTGATGGGCACAGGGGCCCCTCTCCTAGGGGGAGCCCCGCCAGGCCTAACCCTCGGGGCTCCCGGGAAAGGTGGTGGACCAAAACTCCTCCAGGCTTGCATCTGTGCACGGAATAATGAAGCTAACTCCACAAGCAAGAGGTGAAGAGATGCCCAAGGTCTCCAATCCAGCTCCGACTGACAAGACAACCAAGGACTCCAGTGTGGGGCCAAAGGAGACTTCTCTTTGGTTCTCCCACTCACAACTCTGCCAAACTCAGACAGGAAAATAGACGTCAGTTTCCGTGGGAATGTCGGAGTGACCGATTCGGGTCCCTCACACCACCCCTTCCTTCTTTCCACATCACAGGTACAGGGGTGCTCTGTCTGACCGAGGAGGTCAGGGGGCCCCCAACAACCAGGGTGTCTGCACCCAGCACTGAACAGGCGATAAGTGGAGCCTGACTCTGAGGTCTGTATTCTTTAAGAATGTGGGTTTGCCAAGATCTGCCTTTCTGCTCTGCCCGCCTCACTCCCCCTATGGGTCCCAAGGTCTAGACTTCAGTCCTGGGGTAGGTAGCTAGAGTCCCACTGTGGGCTCAGGCCCAAGCTGCCCACATGGATTTCCAGAAAGTCCTGTCCTCTGGGCAAGGGGCCGGTATGTGACCCTTGTTCAGCTGTCCCTGTTTGTTTCTCAGTTGGGAGAATTGAGATGTGAGGACAGATGAGCAACCACCCCCTGGAAAGCCCCACAGATGGTCCGTTGGCCAGAAAATCCTAGGCAAGGGTTACATAATCTGTATTTGGAGATTGCAGAAAAAACAACTCTGTGTGTCTCAGTTGGGGCTCTCCTCAAACCAGGCAGATCTCTGGCATTATCTGGTGAAGGTTTTCTTGTGTCTTAGCCATGGCTACAAGATGTGAGGGCTGTACAAGATACCCCCCCCCCCGTTCCCTGGAGAGTGAGACTCTGGGGTTTGAACCGTCAGTGCCAGGCAGAGATGGGCGGGTGGCACCAGGCCACGGACACACCACCGCCCCCTTCATTCACGCCACTCTGCTTATGTGACTCCTCCAGTCCCTCTTCACTCCTGCCGGGGAGGAGATCAGGGAAGGTTCCTTAATTAGCAGGATGGCTTATTCTACCCCCAAAGCCAGCTTTGCATGACCAGAGGCCCCATGTCTCAGAGTGTGTCTGGATAGCTGAGCAGGGTGGCTTTCGTCAACTGAGGACAGAAGGAGCAGAAGTCCTAGCTGGACATGTGTAGGTCCGTGCCATCCCCTCCAGCACCACTGCCCAGGAGGCCCATAGGGTATAACTACTGGGTGTTCTCATCAGTGAAAAGGGCGGCCCCTTGGTTCCAGTCTGGCTTCTGCGTCCGTTCCTCACCTAGAATGCAAAGGGGTGGCCAGCTCTGACTGACAGCCCCAAACCTCTAGCTCACGATGGTACCAGCATCTCCCACCTGTGTCTGGAGGAAGCGCCAGGCCCTCGGCTGTCTGCCACCACGTCCCCGGGGAGCAGGCACGCACCTGGGTGGTGGCAGGTGTCACTTCAGGTGCAAGCGCAGTCCAAGCCCCTGGACAAAGGCGGGGCCAACAGACCCACCGTGTTTACCTGGGAATTAAGACCCTAGCCATCTTTAGTGGCGGGACCCCAGCCGTCCTGAAGCATCGCTCCTCCTCCTGAGCCTCCCCACCCAGAAAGCCAGCAGCCAGAGATATAGAAGGGGCCAAGTGGCAAAGGTTGGACAGGAGCTGGTGACCCACAGAGAGCAGGAAGTCAGGGTTCTGTGGGCTGCAGGGCCCTGGGGCTGGCCTGGGTGTAGAGAAGGGCAAGGGCGGGGCTGAGAGCTCCATGAATGCGTCCTCCCCCCACGCGCCGCTTCTTTGTCTTCCCCACCAGTCACCTGCCGCTGATCCCCAAACACCAACCACCTGCGCATCCGCCTATCAGGTCCGAGGGCTGAAGTGGAGAAGATTTTCTAGACCGTGCCTCATCCACAGGACTGCCAGACCACCCGGGTATGACCCAGACACACCGACACGGAAAAGGTCAAGACAGCCCTTCTGGGTCTGATTGCTGTTGCCCCAAGAACAGAAGGCAGGCAGCCTTCTGGAGCCTACACGGCAACTTGCGAGCGTCCTCAACTATAAGCCCAGGAAGGGGAAACGGTGAAAGCAGGCATGCCATGCTAGAGGGGCCGCCCCCAGCACCCCCTCAGGCTCCAGCATGAGTCACTCAGCACATGGCCCTTTGTCACTGTCACCATCATCCCTGTCATCACCACTAACCGCTTCGGCAATGCTATGGCCATGCCCGCAGGAATCAGCAGGCAGAGCACCCGGGTGAGCCCCGCGGTTAAAGATGGCACAAGCAGACGAGACCAGAGAAAGGGAAGGAGCCTAGGCGGCTCGAAAGTCCTTAGCCGTCTTCTGATCTCGGTTTCCTCCCACCTGCGTGGCTGGTTTCCAGGGGCTTTTGTCAGAGGGCAGAAGCAACAGGCCATCCCTGAAACAAGCCAGCACCACCTGTCGGAACTGAGGGAGCAGCTCAGGCTCCCCAGAGGTGAACGGGGGTGCTCTCCACCCCAGGACACCTCAGGGGACACACTGCAGTTCCCCTGCAGGGCTGGAGTTAAGACCTAGCTCTTACTCGTGCCGGGGGGGAGGGGTGGGAGGCAGTCCACTCATTTGCGAATACGGTCACTGTCAGCCAAGGGACAAGTGACCGAGTTTCCATACGGAAGGGATCATTCCTGACTTCTGCTTGACCTTGAAGGGAAAACATGTCAACTGGGGAAACTGGCAGAGACAGAGAAACTGAAGGAGACCCCTAAGGAGGGCTTTGCAAAAAGCCCATCATCATCGTGCTTCATGAATGAAAAAGCACACGGGGTAGGCAGCCCGTGTGACACACGAGATTCAACCTCAGAGTTTAAATCCGCCACTACCAGGCGCAGGACCGGAAGGACGACGTTTGCCATGGCCTGGTAAAGATCAGACGCATCCGATACGTCACACTCCAAAACCACGTGCTGAATACTTCAAAAGATCAAATACGGCAATCTGAGACGAAACAAAGCCAAAATTGCCGATGGCTTTGGGACAATTTCAAGAGAAAATTGATATTTTTAAGGGAAAATAAACAAATAAGAAAAAACAGAGCCAATGGTTACACCTCTTCCCATTTCCCATAAGATGTAAAAAACCTGATAAACTATTGAAAGGAGAAGCATAATGGAGTATACTTTTCAGCACTCAGGTTTCGTGGGCGTGGGGATTTTCAAATCGTTTTCTCCAGGATCAGTGTCCTGTCAACACTGAACGTAATTCCCCCACACATCACCACGGCAAATAAAAGCTGCTCAGTACATTTTGTTTGACTTAACTCGAAAATGCGAGACCTTGATATACCTTTTAATGAACTATTGGAAGTGGACCATGGTTTTGCAGATAAATAAATCCTCCAACTTGTCTCCACAGGTTTGAAAGTTCAACAAATAGTGTCCAAAGCTAAGGCTGGGCTAAAACAGCACAGGGCACTGCCAAGGCCAAGTTTAGGACAGGGACACCAGAGACACACAGGTGGCAGAAGGCTCTTCCAATCGGGCAGCAACAAACACCGAAGGCCTCATCACCGAGGCAAAGGAGGGAAGCCTTCAGCCTCCATGATGCGCAGGAGGGGGTGACCATGCCTCTTCGGTACATTGAATCTAGCTTCCCTTGGACAAATAAAATATAAGCGGGTAGGAATCACAGTATGACAGAGTATTTTGCATTTCTGAGGGATCTGTGTTGAGGCCTTCACGATCCCCGAGCTCACGAGCGCCACCACGCAAGTACCGCTGAACAGTGCAGGTCATGCTCTGCTATCTGAACGTTCCCGATGACAAGTGAAGGCATCAGAGAGCTGCCCCTCCTCAAACATCTGCCTTACACAGTGCTTCTCTCAGTCTCAGCCAAACCGCAAAGACCACACGATACGGGCTTTCCATTCTCCCGCAGAACCACCATGCTCTGGCCTCAAATACAAAGGCCGGTCCGCCATCTAACTCTGCAAACGACCCCCCTCCCCGGGGCCACCTGGAGCACACCTCGGGGGCAATCCTGGGATGAATGGGACTTCTCGAGACCGGAGGTCTGAGTTGGGGCTTGCCAAATGCCCGAAGCCATTTCTGAGGCAAGAGATAGATAATGGCTACAGAAAATTCTGGAAGCTTTTGTAAACTGAGGCTCCAGAGCTTCTCCACATGTTGGTCCTAGTCATATAGTCAATGTTTTTAATCACATTAAAGTCTCCTGTTTGGTTTAAATACTTACATCGTTTTCTAAAAAATTAAACATGCTTCTTTCAGCCAACTCCTTTGACTCTTCAAATTTTTCTACCGCTTGTCTGACTTCTTCATCTGGTATCTTACCTACTCGCTTCTTTTTATAATCATAATCCAGGCGGCGGCCTTCCAGCTTTTTCAGGTGGTGCTAAACAAGACAAAGGAGTCCTTCAGAGAACTGTACACTCAGAACACGGGGCAAAGAAACCTTTGTTGTTTCCGTGAAAATAGCCATTGCTTTGTGTCCGCCTACACTCTAGGGGCAAGGACACATCCTACATGTCTGCGTGTCCTCAGCATCCACTTGAGGCCACCTTTACTGCAGACCCTCAAGGAATATCTTTGTGTGGATGGATGGATGGATGGGTGGGCGGGCGGATGGGTGGATGGATGAGTAGGTGGGCGGATGGGTGGGTTAGTGGGTAGATGGGTGGATGGATGGGGGGCTGGATGGGCAGGTGGGTGGGTAGGCAGATGGATGATGGATGGGTGGGCGGGCGGATGGGAGGGTGGGTGTGTGGGTGGATGGATGGGTGGCTGAGTCGTTGGGTGGGTGGGTGGTTGGTTGGGTGGGTGGGCTGGTGGGCAACTGGGCGGTGGATGGAAGATGGGTGGATGGGTGGGTGGATGGATGGTTGGATGGATTGGTAGACGTGTGGGTGGGTGGATGGATGGCAGAGTGAATGAGTATCTATATGGAACATGAGGACACAGTATCAGCACTCAGATTCCATTTTCCAAAGTTCTTTATAGGACCCCTCACTTAAGCTCTATTAATGTCCAGATAAGGTCCAACTAAATTACACCAAAAATAAGCACATTTCCTTTGGCACTGCTGTCAAGTCTTAAGAGCTAGATTACAAAAGCAGAAATTTCTAGTAGCCCCTAGAATACTTATGCATATCCCATAAAGTTCCCAATTATAGAACACGTTCAATAAATGCCATCGATGAATATGCATACACAGAGTACAAACATTTACAACCTCTGGAAGGTGAGATTTCTTTAAAGAAAAATAGGATCTCTTTAACAAAATGTAACAATTGTAAATATTCGATCTGTCCACTCATGGAATGGGCTGCCTTGTGTGGTAGTAAACTCCCCATCACAGTCTGTGTTCAAGCAGAGGGATCCCGTGTCAGAAATGCTGGAGACAGCTCAGCTGTATAGGGCAAGGGAGAGGCCTGGAAGAGTTTACACCTGTAATCCTTGGAAAACAGGTATTTGCTATTGAACGTATCCACAAAACCAGCCCATCCCACTGAAGTGTGCAGGTAACGTTACTATGCATTTTAGTGAACGGCACTGGTTCTACTTCCATAATGAACTGGAGAAAAGAGCTACGGGATAAAAAGCCAGAAGCATGTTTCCTGTATGTTCTGTGACTCTGGGCAAATCTGGCATTCCCTCTGGGCCTCTGTGTGTGGTTATAAAATGGGAATGGGGAGGGCCAGCCTGGCTGCTTATGGGCCAAGAAAGGTTTGGAATCCATTAACCCTTTACAGGTATAAGTCAGCTGGTCTTAAATGAGCAGGTTCTCCACTCCTGGCGTCTGAAACACAGAAACACAGTGGAGACTGTGAACGCTTCTGAACAGACTCTGAACTCTTGATCATCGCATGACTGAGGTGTAGACTGAAGTGTAGGTTTACAGTGTTTCTGTATCAAACAGCAGCTGAGGAACGAGATGCCCCTTAGGATATTATTTTGTTGCACAGGGAAGGCCGACACTGAAGTACAGGTGTGTTCTGCACGTTTGTCTGGTCCACACTTGTGTCCACAGCCAGCTCTCAAGCCGGTCCCGTGGAAGAGCTACGTTGCCCAGAGGACTTTGGGTTTTCCTCGAGGACAACACCACAAGAAGAAACGGCGTATTATATATTTCAGCCAAGGGGGTCTCTGATTTTAAGGTTTTGCATTTGGGAAGGCTGTTTTGGTATCCCCAGGTCCCCCAGAACGTCCCTTCTTCCCCAGGGTCATCTGTTCTTTGATAATTTGCAAGCACAAACCCCATCCTGGGCCTCGTGGTCCCAGAAGTGAACAAAGCAGGACTCCTCACCCTGAGGCACTTACTGCCCAACAACAGAGGAGTAGAAGCAGGGAGGCTCAAGGCACAGGGGAACACAGGAGCACCTGATCAAACCAGGAGAGAACAAAGGCTTCCCAAAACAAAGAGCATCTGAGATCTGAGAGGTGAGTGACTAAGCCGGGAGGGGAGGGGAGGGGGAGAAAGCGAACAGAGCTATCCCCGGGGGCTGCAAGTATTGCAGGGAGGCTGGGCAGCACTGGGAAGGGGCCAGGGGCCAGACCCCAGAGGGAAGGAGAGGCCAGAGAATCAGGGCTAAGGTGGTGGATCTGTAAGCGGCCACCAGTGGGCAGCTCCGGAGGGTCTCCATCTAAGGCCACGCTGGGCGTGGTGCGGAGAGTGCGCTGGAAGGGACAAGGCGTGAAGCCTCCGGGGCTGCCGTGCTCAAGCTTCTAGATGTTAATGCAAGAAGCCAAGAGCTAGAAAGGGAAGAACGGAGATTCAGGAGAGAGGACAATGGCCATGGCCATGGCCTCCAGGGCCCAGTGGAGGCCTGGCTTCAGAGGGCAGGAGGGACACTGTTTCCCCGACATGGACAGGAAAGAGGACCCGGCAAGTGGGGGATGAAAGGCATACTAGGGAGCAGGGTTGCTGAATGTTCCGGGAGTCCCTGAATGGTTGCTTTTGGTTTTCATTCAACCTCCCTGAAGTCCCCTCCACACCCTCTGGTTTCCGTGCAGATTCTAATGCCCATACAGGCATCTAGGACTTCCCGTTCGGGAAATCTGGAAGACGGCTCAAGCATTTGCCTTTGTCACGTGTGATGCTGAGGCTGCTGGTCCAGGGGTCCCCCCACAAGAACTGCTGGGCCTGAAGAAAGGAAATGGGACATCTCCCAGGTTCAAATGACTTCCAAGCTGGCCTGGGCCTGCATTCAGATCACTCCTGAAGGTGCCTGGAGGCAGGTCCTCAGGGCAGCTCCCTAAGAGGGTCAGAAGTCAGCACAGGCTGCCCCTCCAGAGTAGAAGTCCCGGTGGGGTAGAACTCTCAAGTCTGTTTTGGCACATGTAAAAAAGCGCATGTGATCACCGACAGGTCCCTGAGAGCTCCCACGCGTGCTCTCCAAGGCCATTGCTAACAGTTTTCCAAATGTAAAATGTCAATTCCCAGATACTGATTTCCTTAAGAAGCAGTAACAAATCATGACTACGGGTCTGGTGCAAAGTGTCAAAAGATAGGACTATTACGGGATGCTTTTGATTACAAAAATTCTACTATGGAGTTATGGAGTCCTTTTGTTAGGTGAGAAATGGTTGTGGAAATATGCATCTTTCATCTCGGCTTTCAGCTAGCTGGCTTCAATAAAATACAGAAGAAAGGGCTAAGAGGTTCTGGGCCTTTTTCCCAGTGAGCCAGGTAAATATGGATGATTCTTCCAGCACCCATAATAAGATGATGCTTTCACTGAATCCTTACAGAAGCATTCTAATGATTTTCAATATAGACACCATTTTAAGGAGCAATGGGTAGATTTATAGCCTGGAAGACTTACCCCAATCTCTTTTAGATCTTTGTCTTGGAGTAACTGAAGTGGGTCAATAAAAGTTTGCTTTACGTTAATATCAAGAGAGTCTTTCACCTCAGCCATTAGCTTCATGGATTCCCCAACTTCTATCAATGCATTGCCTTGAATAGAAAATGCAAATAAGAAAAGTTTCTTTAGCAGAGTCCTTGAGGATAATGGTGGTATTTATTTAATTCCTTCCCAAAAGTTTGTGGATGACGGTGCAAAAAGGTCCTCCCCCCGGGACTGGTGAATCCTGACTCAGAAAAAAAAAAAAAGAAGAACGCGAGAAAGAAAGTCTCCTTAGGGTCTGTATTTTCCTCTACCTTCTGTTTTCTCTCCACTATATAAAATAAAGGTTGGAGGAGGAGAGACCGAAGCATTTCCCATTTTGGCCACTAGATGGGGATAAAGCTCCTCTTTAAAAACTGGTACAGGTATCCCCTGCTTTTCGAAAGTTCACGCTGAACCCCATCACCTTTACAAAAGACCTACATTAGTACTTGGTTTTGCTAACTGAAAAAAAATCCAAAGAGGATTTTTGCTTTCACTAAAAAAAAAAAAAAAAAAAAGAAAGTTCACGCTGAACCCCATCACCTTTACAAAAGACCTACATTAGTACTTGGTTTTGCTAACTGAAAAAAAATCCAAAGAGGATTTTTGCTTTCACTAAAAAAAAAAAAAAAAAGGCAAAATGAGAATAACATTCAGCCTTTGTTTTGCAGCAAGTTATTAGAGAGGTGATGTGTACCCCAAGTCGTGAGAACAGCACACGGTACCCCAGCATCCAGCCGCTATGGCTTTGAGCTGTGTCTGTGAACATCTGTGCTCTGTCTCGATTTATTCTGTGCATGCACAAGTAAGACTAAGGTATGAGAAAAGCCTAGGAGAGGTTATTTTGGGGGTCTGGTAACACCCCCAAATTTTTCCACATAAATTAATAGTAATTTCTTCTTTGCTTTATACCATTTTGGTTTACAAAAGGACTCGTAGGAATGCTCTACTTTCAGAGAGCAGGGAAATCTCCAGTTTTGTGAACTGGCACCTAGGGTTCCTTAGAAGTTCGAGAACAAAATCCCTCTTTGTAAACTATAAAAGGATTCATTCATCAGGGCTAAGTATCAACCAAGAAAGGTTACAATAGAAATAAATGAAAAAAACCTCCTGTCAGCTTCTAGCTACTAGATCTTGAGGTCACTCCCCATCTCCTTTAGAGGGTTCTAAGACTCCTGACCCTTTCTGATGTCAAAGAAAGCCTGGCAGGGTCACACGGGACAGCCTTTCAGCAGGATTGGCAAGGTTTGCTCCTACAATGAGGCCCGGGCCAGCCACGCTCGGGCTTGGGCAGTGCTGGGCAACTTTTGCTGGATTAAGCCCTGGTATCTCGGTGCCAACCTAATCCACAGGAATTTGCAAGCGGGAGTACTGGTGGCTGAGCAGAATGAGGGTTGCAGTTTCTCTCAAAGGTATCTCTGGGACGTGATGCACCAGACCAAACTATTTTTCCTGTATCAGAGTTTTCCAAATTGACCTCATAAACATGTAGAGCATGGCATCTCTCAACTCTCGGGCTAGAAAAAGACCTTAAGAGGCAACCCAAGAATCTGCATTTCTAGTAAATTTTGACCTTCAAATTGTTGCACCTACTAGTCCAGCCATGCACAATTTATTCACCTGCAAAAGAGCGATAGCAATAAAGACTCACCTCATTTTTTAAAAAATAAACTAGATAGTGCATGGTATAGGACCTCGCAAAATAGAAGTGGAAACTCTTATTCTAAACTATGGCTGGCCAGGACTCCGTTTTGACCCACTGGTAGCTTCATTCCTCCTAAATGTCCTTAACTCACTCTCGAGTCTAAATCATTCCAAGATAAAGATGAGACATCCCTTCCCAGCCTGGGGACTCTTTCTTGCCCAACTGATCAGAAACGGAAGCTACTGTTTCTGACCCCTCTGCCACCAGGACCCACGCCCTGAAATGTCAAATTCGACTTTGACAGAAACATTTCCAAATATTTCTCTGGAGACTCCAAAAATGAATTCTGAATATTGGCCATATCTTCCATGGACCTGACATTCCTCCCCCTTGCTCAGACTTAGTGCTACGGATTCCACAAGGACGTGCGACTCAGCCTCCACCCACTGAGGCTTCTGCACTTCAAGAAGGTTCTACCATGTGGCCCCGAAAGGAAAGCATCCGATAGTACAGTCTCTTCCTCAGAACGGCAAGCAACCTATCCGCTCCTGATGCCCCCTGACATCAGCTCTCCTCCTTAACACAAGTTCCCTTACGTTGCTAGGGACCTGGGAAGCCATCAAACTGGCTGCCCATCCAGCCCCCTGCCCAGTCACCATGGCAGGTGCACTGCAGGACTGGCCTTGGCTGTGAGGCCCTGCCCGGCACCCTCACCTGTCCCCTCAACGGGTCTGCCTTCAGGATAAGGAATAGGCCATCTTGTCCACATTCACCCATGGAATAAAATAAAATTCACCTTCTATTGCTCTGAAAGATATTGTTACCCTCTGTGACTAATGAATGTTTTAAGCAGGGGGTCTGCTTGAGGATTCTCTCTCCTTCTCCCTCTGCACCCCGCCCCCATCCTGCACTCTAAGTAAATAAATAAATGGTTTAAAAAAAAAAAAAAAGGTGGCATTGTGCACCATCTCGGCCAGGCAGGAGGCGCTCGCCACTGATCCAGGCGCTGTGCACACTCACCGAACGCAGAGCCTTCGCCCAGCTCCTTCCCGTACTTCAGCATACAGTCGCCCAGCAAGCCTTCCGTCTGGGGGTAGCCAGTGGTTTTCACCTGTCCTCGAATCTTCGACACAGTGTTCAGCATTCCCAGCTTAGCTCTGTATGCTTAAAAACATTGTCATTTGTAATTCCTTAAAATGACAAGGCAGAGCCACAGGTCCGTCGCATTGAACAAATGACGGCAAAACAGAGGCCACCCGGCGTACAACCTGCAGGAGGCCTGGAGCGAGGGACAGGGCGGGGTGTGACAGACTCTGTCTCTCACAGGATTTCCTAGACTCTTTTACCGGGGGTGGGGGGGAGAGAGGTGCTAACCGCACCTCTGCACAGCCAGGATGGAACGCAGGGACAGTGCACGCTCCGTGGACTGCAAACACAGGACCTGGGCTACCCCAGCCCGCGTGCAGGGTGAGCTACTGAGAGGCCTGCCATTGCCCACACCCCGAGTCAGGTGCAGCCACCTGGACAGGCACTCCTTCCCGGGGCCCAATGGATCACTAAGAACAGAACCGCTGAGGTGGATGTTTCAAACCACCATCGGGCTGTGAACACCCTCCCCGTGCCCCAAGAACGTATTCCATCTGACTGTATCCAATATTGTGATGAAGGGCTGCTCATTCCTCTTAGGAAGCAGAGCCAATAGGAGGAAACGGATCCCCCCACCCCCCACCCCCCGAAGGAACATGAGTCTGTGTGCGGATGGTCCCTTAGGGAAATGATGGGTGGCCACGCTCTTGAACTTCTTCTCTCCGACTCAGTCAAGGAGTGTTTACTGATCCCGGCTCTGTGGGACAGCCCATGCCAAGTACTGGGGCTCCAGAGAGACCCAGGCCGCATCGGCCCTAACGGATCTCAGGGTTTGGTACTACTAAGGCAGAATATGCAAGATGTACTCTGTAGATAAAGTTGGGGATGATGTCAGAAAAAGGAAACCATAGCAATATTGCTAGATAAGGTTGGAAAGATGCCCCGAAAAAGGCAGAAATCTTATCAATAAACTGTGGAAGAGGAATGCTTATGGTCTATAACCAACAGATAAAAAGCAGGCAGGCTTGACCTAAACAGAAATTAAAACAGGACAAATCAGGAGATATCTATGGGAAAATATGACTATGAAGTGAATCCCAAGCTAAGGATTTGGGATTTTATTCTACAGGCCAGAGAGTGAATCACATACTAGCTTGTGGTGTTTGAGATAACTTTAGGAAGTAATGGGATAGACTTTTATTTTCTTTGACTTTAATAATTACATGTTTGTTTTCATGTATTCTAGACCAGTGCCTCTCAAACTGTAATGCGCATACAAATCACCCAAGGATCCTGTTAAAATGCAAGGGCTGATTCAGGCAGTTTGAGCTGAGCCCAAGATTCTGCATTTCCCACAGTCTCTCAGGTACTGCTGGTCCTGCTTTAGACGTTCCCATGTGCCAGCCTTTTTGAATCTTGCCCACCTCAGCTTCAAAGCAGTTTTCCTCCCGGTCCCTGCACAAAATCTTCACTCTCCTACAAACCACACACACACACACACACACACACACACACACACACACACACACACACACACACACACACACACACTCGGTTCCTCCTTCCCACTGTCAGGGTAGAAACCGGGAGGTACCAGGCATGTGACTGATAGACATTAAACTGGAAATAACCAGAGGCCTCTGTCCAAGGGGACACTTCCATTGTTGGCCCACCCCATTCCTAACCCCTTCCAATGTCCATTCTTTGAGGATGGGATCTTGGTTCCACTTTGAAGTACCCCAGGATCCAGGAAAACCCTTCACCAAGAGTAAGCTCTTGCTGAGTTATGTGCTGACTGATTTATCAGGAAAAGGAACTTACGTGGCTCATCTCAATCATTAAGGAGGCCAGGGAAGAGATATTATTTATTACAGTTCTTAAAATTCTAATCATCTATCCAATTCTAAAGACGTCTACACTCACCAACCTCCCTAGACATAATTTTGATAAAATTTATGTTTTTTTAATTTTTACTGCCTAGATTTTCGGATGGTTGGGTCTGTGCTGATTGCTACAGCCAAGGGAATCACAGTCGCTATGTGCAAATACTAAATTCCTAAAAAGGAAAGGCAGTTTTGGAGATGCACAAAATTCGAGGCTTGGATGCCCTGCCCTGTGTCAGTTTCTGTACTTCACAACCCAGGAAAAACTCATCAAGGGGTATTGCTTCCCGACCTCGGAATTAAAATCCTACTGTGGAAGCAATTTCAAGTGAATATATCCTTTTGAGCAGGATGACAGAATTTTTTTTCTAAAAGAGGGGATTCCTCAATAAGAAAACATATACAAAACGCTTAGTGGCTCTCTGAAGCATCTCCTAAAAAAATGTCTTTGCTTAGCAGTGCCTTGCGGCTGAGCCCAAGCCTCCATCCAAATGACATCACTGTAGTTCACAGAATTGTCTACTAGAATTCACTGAAACTACCTCTGGTCCCTGGAGGCTTGACTTTAAAAAAACTGAATTTTATTATGTGGATGCAAAAGACATTGTTTCTAAATTATGTCAGCCATGTGTCAAGTAAACATGGGTTAGTGATCTATGACAGTGAAAGAGCAAGAGACTATTTCAAGACATTTTTTAACTTTACCTGGATTTGGCTGAAGATATTCTGTGGCTTTCGAAATAATTTCTGCAACAGCTTTATTGGTAATGTCTATTTTCTTTAAAAGAAAAACACATAAAAATGTTGGTAAATGACACTGAATTCACAGAAAAAGAAAAGTAATATGCATTAATTTAATACACATTATTATGGTGATTTTAACCTAAATGAATTTCAGCATTTTGGGGGAGAAGCAATTAATTTCTCACTTTGATTTTGGGACAGTTCTTTCTCCCCATGATGATGGAGAACATTCATTTCTTTTCTTTTTTAACATTAAAGTGAGTATTCATGTAATATTTAGAAAACTTGGACAAATCATTATGCTCCTCTAGATTACTAGATACACTTGAAGGTCTCTCAAGCCAACACTAGGCATGTCTGAGCCAAACTTTCCTTATCTGCTGGGTCAACTTGATGTCTATATTCACATAAGGACGCCCTGATAATGATTCACATTAGAAACTACCACAGTAAATCAACAATGAATCATTCTCACTAGCATACCACTAACATAAACACCCATGTGTTCTGTCTGTCACGTTAAGACTGAATCTTTCCTTCCACAAAACCATTCCTGGACACTGGCTGCTGGTTAGCCAGACACCGAATGTGAGAACAGACGATAAAGTAAAATATGCACATTACAATAGCTTTATTTCATACCATCAATAACCTGAAAGAAAATATAAGGGAAAAGGAGATCCCATTCATAAGAGCAATTTAAAAATACGCAACAATAAGGAACAAATATAATGAGAAATGTACAATAGCTATTTCAAAAACCATATTCCTAAATGGGAAAGTTTAATTGTACAAAGATGTAAATCCTCCCAAATTAACATGTAAAATTAATTCAAATCTCATCTCAATTTTAATTTTTTTTCTTTTTTTTGTTACAACTTGGCAAATAATAAAGTTAGGTTCATGCCTCACACTACCTACTGGATTACAAATATAGACCTAAAAACAAAGTGTAAAGGTACTAAATTATTCATGAGCACATTTTGAAATATGGGGATGGGAAGACTCTTCTAAGCATGACCCAAAATCCAAATGTCATAAGTGAAAAGACTAAAATTCTGACCCTATAAAATTAAAGACTGAACAGTGAAAAGACATACTACATGAAGTTCAACAAAAGTGGCAAAATTAAAGAGAAAGAAAACCGTACAAGGGACACGCGCTTAGTGTCCATAATACATAGAACTCCCATTTAAAAAACAAAAAAATAAAAAAAAGTCAACCCACCTAGAAGGGACAAGAACATAAACTGGCAATCCACAAACAGGGAAAAATACAAGTTCAAACACTTGACAAAATAGCCAGAAAAAAATGTAAATTAAAAAGGAGATACTTTCTGCTCATCAGATTGACCCCCCAATTTTTTTAATTGATTTGACCCAATATTAGGTATTATACAGATGTGGAGGAACAGGCCCTTTCACACACGGAGTGCAAAACAGATACAGCTTCTGGAGATCAAGGTAAAGGACCTACGAATGGGCCTATTAGTGCCACTCTCAGACTTCCAGGAATTTATCGTCTGGAAACACGCCAGCAATGTGCAATGATGTAAAAGGATGTCAGACCATTTTATGTCGTATTAAAAATTGAAACCAACTTGAATGATAAGCGACAAGAGATTGACTGGACAAATCGTGAAACATCCAAATTGGGGAATACTCAAATCATCAGAGAGAAAATACAAGGAAGCTCCATACGTACTGGGAAGATGCCCATAGCGCATCGTCAGGGAAAGAGAGAAAGTCGTAGAGTGATTTGTAATACAAGAAATTCATTTTTGTAATTGAAAAAACAACGATCTGGTCAGGGTCAGAAGCTTTCAACCAAGCTAGCTCAACCAGCCTGAAACTGTATGTGTTCCCCTTGGCTGAATGCCTAAATTCAGGGCCCCAGGAAGGTTTAAACAACAGTACGTATATGATGAAGCAATGAATCACACCTGTATTACCGATGCCCACGTGCAGCTGTGTGTGAGGCGTGTGTGTGTATGTGCATCTGGCCTTGTGACCAGTTCTGTAAGGTCTGAACTCTCTTCATTGTGTTCGACGGTTTACGAAGATCGTTGAAATGTTTAAGAGAATAGGATCACCTAAATGTTTATGTTTTACTAGAGTTTCAAGAAATTTCAGTACTTAGGGAAACTCTGTTTTAAATTTGATGTGACGCTGAGGCGAATTCCATACGTCGCATTTGTGATTCTAGACATTTGAAATGTCTAAGGGAATCTGCTTAATTATGTAACTGGAGATAAATGTTTAAGGATTTGATCTGTTAAGCCTATGACTTAAGGGAACCTAAAACGAAGATTAACTGAAAATGATCATTGTTTTTACACCAAAATTACTAAATTTATAAATAAGATTCAGCAGTTCAGTTTAAGCTAAAGAAAAACTAGGTTTTAGATTTTAAACTTTCCTAAGTTTCATATTAATTAAGACACAGCTTAGAGTGTTCCTTCCCACGTATCCAACCTTCCTTAGACATGAAAAGCCACCAGGAAGCTAGGCATCATCTCTGAAGGGTGACAGTGATATTGTGGGCAGGGGGAGATGTTCAGGTTAACAAAATGCTATGCAATGTCCGCTGCAAACCATCAGGACAAACAGGAGAAAGTACAGAGGTAAAAATTATTTTTTGTAAAGTCTATTTGGTATGAAGGCATCTTTGTCCATTGATTAAATCTGGAATTTCCCTCAAATGTTGGCACCCTACCCCTGCAGTGCCCCGAAGTCCATGCCACTGACTCTTCCAGGCCTCAGCCTGAGCTGGAGAGCTGCTAGCAGCCCTGGTTTCTGGTGGCTGTTCATAGTATTCTGTTTTTTATTATTATTTTTAAAAAGAATCCATACCAAAAAAAGGGAAGAATCCATACCTGTCACTATATCATCTTACTCCTTATGTAATTTATTTGTGCTTACCCTTCTCTCTTTCTTTGTCACACTTGGTAGAAGTGGTTTTTTGGGAAAAAAAAAGTTCTTGTTTTTATTCATTGATTTTACCTTTTTGTTGTTACTGTTTCCTATTTTATTAATCCCTCATTTATCTGTATTGATTCCTTCCTTCCATCTAAAGTGATTTAACTTGTTATTTTCCTAGCTTCTTGGCTTATGTGATTTATTCATTTTCTTCAAACATTTATTTTCTATTAAGTGTACTTAAGATGTAGCCATATACCACAGGTTCTGATATATAGAATTCTGTCTCTCGTGACTAAATGATTTTTTTATTTTACTTTTCATTTCTTAAGTTAAGAATAATTTTTACACACTTTAACATTTCCAAACATCCAGAATTGGGAAGGTATACCTTCCTTGTAATCCTTGTATTCTATGATTTTTACACTGGGAATTTTTTTTTAGTTTCTTCTGGAGCCTAGCATATGATTCTTTTAATTGTTCTAAAGGGACTTAAAAAGAATACAGATTCTCAATTTGAGGAATGCAGATATCTATTTATAATCAAAGCTATTAATCATATTTTATACTAATTGTCTATGAGCCAATCTATTATTGTCAACTTAATCTGTTATTTTATGAGAGGTATGTGAAACCTTCTACTCTGGACTTTGTCGATTTTCCATGTATTTCTGACAACTTTTACCTTATGTATTTAGATGCCATGTTATATGGTGCATAATGGTTCACAACTATCACAATTTTCTGATAGACTACGTGACTGCATCCTTTTTTATAATTTTTTAAAAGATTCATTTATTTTAGACAGAGAGTGCAAGCAGGGGGAGGGGCAGAGAGAGAAGGAGAGAGAGGATCCTCAAGCAGACTCCCGACTAAGTGCAGAGCCGGATGAGGGGCCCAATCCCAAGACCCTGAGATCATAACCTGAGCCCAAATCAAGAGTCAGATGCTTTAACCAACTGAGCCACCCAGGTGCCCCCCTTTTTCTAACTTTTTCCAGTTAGTGGGTTTTGGTGTGTGTTTTTGTTTTGTTTTTTTGCAACAAATTTTACTTTGACAATACTATTGGTCCTCCACTTCCATATGGCTAGGATTTGTCATGGAATATCTCCATTCCTTTGTCATTTCTCTGTCATGTTTTAGGTAGATCTGATACTATCTAATTAATCTCTTCCAGAAAGTCCTTAAAATTTCTGGTCACATATTAGATATTTCCATGCTTTTCACTGCTGTAAGATAACAAAGAGATTTTATTTTTATATTTCTTCTGTCACTCACTGGGGCTTTAGGAAGAAAAGGAAGTAAACAAGAGGGATCTCAGGCCATCAGCTGAAACTAGAATTGCTGAAATGTGTTTTTCAATTTAACATTTAAGCTGAATCATTTTGTTAGTAAGAAAGTTACACATGATATCTTTATATACCAAGGGATTTTTAAAAGTAACTTCAGGTATGCCAATGATATTAAAAATATTTCCATGTTTTTCAATTTTCAGAAATTAAGTTTTTTCAAAAGCAAAACAAAATGAGCTTCTCCTCTCAAAGCATTAACATTTCTAGAAACTTAATAGAGCTCATCCAGAAAATAAGGAGCTCCCTGGAGGACAGTCTGGCCAGGGCCAGGGTATCCTGACAATAGGAACCCTCCAAGCCATAGCCAGGGATGGGACATCCTCCCCCGCATCTGATGACAGCTCTACAACCTGCTATATACTGTATCCTTGATGCTACATCTGAGGAGAGATGCTTTGCTTTCTCTCTGCCCTCTCTCATCTGGGGAGTCTAGTTATTAAAACAAGGCTATGTTTAAAGGGCCCAAGACCAAGGGGAAGGCAATTGAGAAAGTTGGTAATTACTTGTGGTCCCAGTTCTACCTCTGCCTAGACTATTCCACATAGCTGACCAGGAAACAGGTTAAGGGACAGAGAGTCTACAATCTTCCTTAGGAGCATGTTACAATCATTTCTGTAACAAGCTCATCCTATTTTTCTAAATGTTTTCATACACATTAATTTTTTTGCATAATTATCCCAGCAATCCATGTGAGGCAAGCAGGGTGCACATTATCAAACTTGTGTCACCGGTCAGAAAAGATGAAAGAGCTTATCCAAGTTCACACTGCTAGTTCTAGTGACAGAACCCAGATAAACGTTATTTGTCACGCAGCTTCTGCAACACATGGGATCAGAGACAGAGTCTTCCACACAGTCAATCAATCTTTATATATTTGAAGGATCTCATCCCAGGAATACATTTTGGTTTTCCAGATACATCATCACAATTACTTTGGTCTTTTCCTTGCAATAACTGTTTGCCAAGATTGACCATCTTTTGAGCATTCTGACTTTTGTCCACTAGAGGGAACCAACTAGCCATATTCCATCTCCACATTAGAGGGTCTTTACATCCCAGATTCCCACTAATATCCTTTACGTTATCAGTACATCTCATATCACAACGAAAATCAAATTTGTGAAACAACTGACATTAACATGCTCTTACCCTCTCCATGTCAAGAAATTCATCATCTAGTTTCGTTCCTTCGACGCCACTTATTTTTTCACTGAATAGCTGCAGAAATAAACAGAAGTTAACTGCATTGTACAACCTGTTATCATAATTTCTGACTGAAATTATTACAAACAAAAACAAAAACTCATGTTCAGCTTGTTGCATTTTTTTTTTTTTACTAAGTCCTCTAAAGAAAATTGTTGGAACGAGTAACTGAATCAAAGGACATGGGAATATGTATATTTCTCACTCACTCAACAGTTATTAATTATGTACCTACTGTAGAAAGTACACAGTAGGTGTTCTAGTAGAAACACAGATAAATAAGAACCTTATCATTCAGGAACCTAGAGTTCAGCAGAAGAGTTAATACACGCACACTCAATTGAAATACAGGGGAGGAAAAATCTGAACAAAGTAGTGCTGGGTACAAATTATTGTAAACATACCAAGTAATAGGCATTTCAGTGATTCACAGGATTCTGGGAGCCCACAGTACAGGAGAGGAGGGGGCACATGAGGACCTGTTACCTACAAGGCTTGGCGTTTGAGCTGCCCATTTAAGGATAAGGGACATTTCAACAGGCAGCACTGAACGAGCCTTGCAGCATGAGGCAGCGCGGAAAAATACCCAGAGACAGCAACGTGTAGGATGGGGTTTTTCCACCTTGCCACTCTGGTATTTAGACCAGATAATTCTCTGTTGCGGGAGGCTGTCCTGTGCATTGTAGGATGCTTAACACCATCCCTGGCCTCTACCCACTCAATGCCTGCAGCATGCACATACCCACGCAGGGACAACCAGAAACGTCTCCGGATGGTGAAGAATCACTGGTAGAGGGCAAATGTGTTCAAGCAACAGTAAGAAATTTGGTTTGACTACAAGGAATAGTGATCGAGGGAGAATGGAGGAAAATAAATGCTGAACGTTAGAGAGGGCAGATCACACAAGTTCTCAAATGCCAAGCTAAAAGGTATGACTAAGAAGTCCCTAGATTGTTTGTCCAGCACCGTGTAGTCAGAGAAACCTTTTAGCAAAGCAACTCTGGTTCCAGTGTGGGCTGCATTAGAGAACAAGGAGGAAGGAAAGTAAGTTAAATCGCTTTCTTTAGAAAAGTACATCAGCGTAATTTGTTTATACCTTTAACATATTTATGCGACTTTAAAAAAAAATCAGTCGTACAGTGGGGGGGGGGTGCGCCATCAATTAATGGTCAAAGGACTGCAGGTTCTTTTATGTAAGTGTGACTTTCTGCTACTATTTACACTGTGAGTGCAAATACAGCATTACTCTTTAATAGGAGGAATGTAGGTGTAGACAATAGGTAACTTACATTCGAGGTGTGCGGAGGAATTACTTGGACAGAGTAGATAGAGGAAGAATACACAATGGCCGTGATTTTTTATCTCCCCTGTAGCGATGTCTTTGCAGCTCCTCCTGGCCAGAGTTGGAGTTTACCTACCCCCCGCCCCCACCCCCCACCCCCCCGCAGTGAATCCGGGCTGGACTTGACACTTGTTTTGAACTGCAGACAGAAGCGCAGGCCTTGGCAGATCTCGTATACTTTCAGTCATTCTCTTGAAACACTGCTGCCACAATGTGAACAGGCCTGGGCTAATTTGCTGGGTGGTGAGAGACAAGTGGCCCAAACACCCCCCTCAGGACAACCAGGCAATGCCCAGGATCAGAGCCCCTGGTTGACCTGCAGCCAACTTCAGGCACGGGAGAAAGCCATGAAAACAGGAGTTGAATAGATGGTGGGTGTTTTACACGAAACATTGGAGTGCTTTGTTACTCAACCAAAGCTAGCTGATACACTACACAATAGTTCTTGGTTTTCAGGCTCAGTATAGATGTCAGAGGGGATTCTCCTAAAGCCCTGATACAAGGTATAACCTTCCAACAGAAACAATGCAGAATCCCAGGGCCACTCACCAAGCAGTGTTCACACGGAAGTATCCATCAATTAGGTGTCCCCCCATCCCCGAACAAAAAACACCTTTTTGTTCAGTCATGAAACCATTTAAAATATTAGTTCTTAACTTTGGAGGTAATACTCCGAGACTCCAATGAAAGTTACACAACCACACCCCAGGAAAAAACATTCATTTTGTTGCATGGTAGATTGCAAAAATGGCCACAATGCCTTGTAGCTCCTCCCCCTAAGAAGTGCAGTCTATTTCTCTCCCCGGTGACTAGCTTTTGTCAATAGAATAGAGGGTAAGCAGCACTGCATGAGTATTGAGTTCAGGCCTTAGAGGTATGTTATAGCAATAAAGCGGCCATGTAGATACTCCTGCTCCCCCTCTGAGCTCCGCTGTAACCATCTCCACATGAGTAAACCTGAGCTAGCATGCTGGAGAATGAAAGCCCACTCAGAGCAGAGATGAGCCTTCCAAGCTGAGTCCTCTCAGAGCACCAAACCTCCAGCTGACTTGGCAGCTGACCTCCGACAGATGAATAAGCTCAGCCCCCATTGAGATCAGCCAGACCAACAGACCTCCCCAGTGGGCCTGGCCCAAATTACAAACCCATAAAATTGTGAATAAATAGTTTTTGCTTTTGAGTCACTAAGTTTTGAGGTGGTTTGTTCTACAGCAAAAAAATTGATTGATACAGTTGCCTATAATTTCAGAGGGTTACCGTAACCCCTCTGCAGAAGCCCATGCCTAGATCCCCTGTTTTAAAATACCCATTTGAAAAGCTCCTTAGCACTGACAGGCAGACCAGAAACATCCTTAATTGGAATCCATTCTTACTGGTTCAGGTTATACCTGTTCTATTTTCAAAAAGCAGAATGTCTAATAGAAGGAGGAATGTTTCCACTTTTAAGAACAAAAAATAGTGAGATTAATATTCCTTTGTTTGAAAAGAGACAATAATATAGGACGGTTTTCAACATGAATCACAGGTTAAGAGTCATGATCATTCTTCTGCTTTTTCTGAATTCCCCCAGTGAGGTTCAGTTGTTTTGAGAAAGTAAGTAATAAATATACATTTGATATCAGCTCCTTAGACCATCTGATGGTATTTGATACTTCATCACTCAAAGAATAAGGCTGAGCATCTATCTACTATGTACAAAGCACCACAATTAGTATATGGACATAAAGACGAAAAAGACAAGCATGATCCCTAAGGGCTCATGACCTCGTTAAAGAGTTACAGAAACTGCAGTTCTATTTCTCGTAAGTGTTGGAAGCTAAATATAAATACTCAAGCTCCTACTTCTAGTGAAGATAACTAGATAAATTCAACTCTGATACACCCCCTCTGCTCTGAATGCATAGCAATGATAGATTAAATCTCCCAAAAAAAGGAACCATAAAGATAAGCAATGCTTTAAAAACAGAATCAACTTTTTTTTGTGCACCAGGAAAGGAACCGAGAAACACAACACGATGGACAGGGTTGAAGTCTCGATTGTCCTGGTGTCTTGTCAGCCACAGGCTCTGGCAGCCAGCAGTCTGGCTCCTGTTGGGTAAAAAGGTATCTACAAGTTCCCCATGAGACAAGAGCCTGGAATCAGGCTCTGCTTAAATCCAGGGGATGGGAAGGAAAAGGAAGTTGGAAAAAACATCCATTTGCAAACCACTGTCTGAGGTTAGCACCCTCAGCAATCCACAGGTCCAGGGAGACTGGAGAGCAAAGAAGCAATCGGGTTACCCCCAGCTCTCTGGCTAGCTCAAGATATCACCAATACCACCAGAGAGCAGAAACCACCCTTTGGCACTGGGGCCTTGGGAAGCCAGGTGGAAGAATTCACAACCACTGGAGAGAAGTGAGCAAAGATGGGGTAAGAGTAACAAAAAGACACCCCCCCAATAAAAATTAAGCATAGAAATCTAAATTTTAGGGCACAAGACTAAATCTAACATCAAGTAAGAAAGCCAACAAAATCATAAATCAAAATGTGAATTCTGGTGAATATCATTTTATGAAACAATATGACAGAAACCTTATATGTATGCTTATGATATTACCAACATGATAAATGAAGGAATAACGTCTACTAATAAAGAGCAAACAATTACACAAAAGGGAAATTTTTTTAATTGCTATTAAAAATTAGACATCTTGGAAATAAAATACACATAGTCATGAAAACAAAAAATTTAATAAATGGGATAAACTCCAGACTGGGCGCAATCAGAGAAAGAACTGGTAAACTAGAAAATATTACTAGGAAAAGTATGGAAAGAGCAAAAAATTTTAAAGGAAAAAGACTTTTTTAAAAAAAGTATGTGAAATACCAGTTAATCAGTTTGGAGGGTAAGATCTATCTGACAGGCGCTCCAGAAAAAAAAGGACACAATATAGGAGACTCAGTATTTTAAGAGTTAATAGCTGTTTTTTTGTTTTTGTGGGGTTTTTGGGTTTTGGTTGTTTTTTGTTGTTTTGTTTTGTTTTTTGTACAACTGAAAGAGGGTATGAGTCCACAGTTTAGAAGTATACTTAAATGCTAAGCAAGGTAAATATTAATTCACATGTCAAGGTTTCAAGAGTAAACAATTCTAAAACTCCCACAGGGGAATAAAACAATTAGATTCACAGCAGATTTCTCTTCAGCAACAGCAGGTTCCAGGAGGCAATGGAAGATCAGTTTGAAAGTGCTAAGAAATGTGAAAATCTAGAATTTTGTGTCTCCCTGAAGTGTTAAGAAGAAAACAAAATAAAGACATATTCATTCAGATCATCATAGTTTCTAATAAGAGGAATGTTAAAGTACTTCATCAAGGAAATAAAAATTGATCCAAGATGAAAGGTATGAACTGCAAGAAACAACAGTGAGAACAGAAATTGATACACTAGAGTGGTAAATGTAACTACTGATTAAAAACAAACAAGCAAAAACAAATATGTGAGTTCACAAAAGGCAACATTATAACCTTAAGCAATAATAAGACGGGACGGGGAGGGTGTTCAGTGGATATTCTGAGCCCTGTAAGGTTCCTCTATGTTCAGGAGGAGGTGGGAAATGGACATCACTTTAAACATTGTTAAAACAATAGATAAGAATCTGTGTTATATAATTAATGGTAACTACTAAAAGCATAAA